GTTGAAAAATATTCGTTCATGAACTTCGTTTATTACTTTCAAGTTTCTCTTATTGCTACTCCTCAACTGAATTGTTTCCCCTGACTTACAGCAGGGGAGCTTGCTTTAAGAAGATCTCTGTTGGGAACCCTTTGGGTCCTATAGGGAACCTATGGGCCTTATGGGGAACCCTATAGGGAACCCTATTGGTTCTATAGGGGGATCTATAGGTTCTATAAGGAACTCTAGAGGTCCCAAACTGAACTCTATGGGGGATATAGGATCCTAGAGGATTATATATTCCTAAAGGAAAATAGAGGAATCCTATAAGACATTTTCGTAAGGGCCGGCTTCAGTCCTTTGTGTAGTTCTCCGCCTCATGACTTCCTCTTCCGTCTGGTACACGGAAAACTATACTGGCCACAATTCTATGGAGTACTTCTCTCGAAATGGGCCAAATTTGGGTGCCTATGACTTCGCAGTAGAAAGTCCTTGAAGAAAATAACTATTCCGCCAACCTTTTGAAGCGCTGGTGCAAAAAAATCTTTCCAATAGCTTCTTCATTCAATGCGGAGTTTGGTAACTCTTTTTCTCCACAATATTTCCCGCATTCGGCAGAGCGACATCGTATACAATCAATATACAAATATTGTTTTAAAAAATAGTTCATCGTTGAAGTTGACAAATGAGCAGAGACAAAAATGAGGAAATTTCCGGCAGTTAACAATTAATCGCAATCGTTCAACATGTAGAGACTATTCATGGGCTAGCGAAGTCGTTTGGAGGTTGAGTTCACCTACATTTTTTAAAGATATTAACTAAACTTTCTCATTAGATGTAGGTTCTACCATATCTAAATCTTCCTATCTCGTGGTAGGCATGTCGAAAGGCCTTTCAGGCTCTTTCAAGATGATCCCAACGATACCAGACCCTTTTCAGGCATAGTGACCAGGTAAATGCCAAGAGGTCGACGATTCGCGTGTGACGTAAGACCGAATTTCCAACTTAGAACTGCATTTCATTTTAACATTTAACGCTTAATCAATCAATTACTCAGCGTCGACAAAATTGGTACATCGAGAAATCGATTATTGCTCAAACGTGGACACAATATGGTAGAACCAATTGGCAGCGATTGACGAAAAAAATTCTCCATGTTGACATAGGGATTTTACTAAAAGTGAGAAACGAAACTGGCGTGAAACGGGGCTCATCGAACGGAAGTGGGCCATTCTACTAATACTTATTCTAATACTAATTACTTAATAATACTAATTCTCATTCTTTCTCGTATAATAGCTGGATTCGTTCGCTTAATTTTGCTAGAACTTTTGCTTAATTTTGGATGAACCTTCTAGAACCTAAGACAGTGGAGTTCAGTCACTGACATTCAGGCGGTCTGTTTGTACCAGGTCTAAATTCTCTCTTTAAAAAAGTCTCTTTTTTTTCTCTTTGTCCAACGAGCACTATAGAGTTGAAGAAATACTGATATAACGTTCACTTCTAACGCTGTTCCAGCAATGAAGAGGACGTGAATACTGCTAAAATGTATCTTTTAGAACTGCTCAGAAACAATATTAAACACAAAAAATTGGATGAATGCCATTAATACGTTCATTTGCAACAATCCCAAGTAAAACATGCACACATAGCACTACTTGTGAGACCGAACCTTGTACTTGTAAGGAACGAACGCATTGGGAGACTCCCATCGGAGGTACATATAATCATTCCCCACGAAAGGAGACCGCAATTTCATGGGGACGTCTTCCGGAGTCACCTTCACCAACAACGCCTCCGAGAGCCTCCCCAAGCCTCCCTGAGTAGAAATCATCCATAGAATGTAATACCACTCTGCCACTCCAAGAATGTAATACCACTCCAAGAATGTAATACCACTCCAAGAATGTAATACCACTCTGCTCAGACTCGAAACTCGAGAGACTTACGACTTTAGTGCGGACAGCAACTTGGATTGAATATTCACTCGATTGCACCAGGTTTTGCAGATGGACGGATGACGTCCATGGAACATCCTTGTGCTTCCACAGTTCCGGATTCTCGGTATCAGCCACGCTATAAAATATCTAACGAATACGAGGCGATAGGAGAAAATAGCCATATTAAGGAGACTCATGACTTTGAGGGGACAAGTCACCCTGTATCCTGCAATGCTTTCTCGCGGAACTTCATCCCACCAGACTTCCAAGGTATCCTCTGAAGTTGCCATGGCCTTAACGTTACGAGGAGCACGAGGAGCAAGAGTGGTGTCGAGGTGTATCTTCTCAGAGAAGGGACCAACACCTTTCCCGTTGTATGCGCAAATCCGAAAGTGGTATGGAATGTTTTCTTCCAATCCCTTCACGATCATCTGGGGAAGAATGAACTCCTCCTCATTATTATTTTTTTTGCCCCAAGGAAAGACTGCTCGTAAAGAAAGGCTACCTTTGGTGAGGAAACATTTCTCTCCGACACGAGGTAGTCATTGAACTTATGTAGTTGAAATTTGTAGCCAAGGATGCGGCCATTGCATTGAGACGGAACAGGGTCCTCCCAAGAGATAGCAATACTATTTGCAGTGATATGGTGGAATGAGATATTGGTGGGTGGGCCTGCAGGGGATTTCTCAGGTATTCTGATGAGGGCAATTGCCTCCTGACCGCAGCCGACGTCGTTGCAACAAGCCAGTCGGAACTCATACTCCCGTCCGTAGTCTGTGAGTAGGAATTCGATACGAGTACGAAGATGACCATCTAGAGAGACTCTCGAAAGGGTTCATCTCACCAAGGTTCCGAATGTCGTGCTTATTCGCATCTGGTTGATCCAGGGTGACGTCTGTCATATGGAGTTTCTCCTCTTCATATTTTGGATCGTTGTTGTAGGAATTTGGCCTTTTCCCATAGCGTAGGCGCCACCCTTGAATTTTTCCGAATGTCTTGGATGGATTTTCCCATGTGGCTTCAATGGCCGCTCCTACGGTCTCCACATCTACAAGCCTGGATTGAGATGTGTGCATTCCATTACAAATTCTTGAGGAATTTTAGGAACATAGATGTCTTCGTTTCTTAGTGATTTCCTGTTCAACCACTTACTTTTTATAATACATTTCCGTATTATGGATATTTTATTCGTAAATTATGTAGTATTTGGAGAGTCCTTCCATATTTTCATTTTATAAAAAATTATGGAATCAAAGGAGCCAATGTACTTTAGTTTGGGTCTTGAAGGGACTCCTCCTGGTGTCTGGAGAACGATGGGACTATTTCTTTTCCCGAATCCCTGACGCATGAACGCTGCAACTCGAACTTCATATTTTGAATCCGGCTGGAGATCCGTGAGAAGAAAGGTTAATGTAGATCGATTCTGAACAGTGTGAACGAGTGGCTCCCCAATGGGTTTCCTAAGGTCGTCCATCTCCTGGGTGCTGATTCGATAGCCGACGATAAACCGATGTTGCTCCTTCTGCTTGGGAGGTTTCCATCTTACAATGGCCGATGTGAAGTTTACCACCTCGACCACCACATCTTCCGGTTCATGAATCACTGGATGTGAATAAGAACCGACCAGTTCCATTAATAAACCGCAGATGCAATGGAGTCAGTCATGGAGACACATTTTTGAATCCCCCCACTGATCTGAAACTCCTTTGCTCACATTCTACTTCTCGGCATTCCTGTTCAGATTCAATTGCCTCCACCCGAATTCTCGTTTTATTACTCACCGTAGTTCTTTGTGGAGACAGTTATTGGAGGAGTTGGTGCACCTTCATCGCTCTTGCTTTTTGCTGCGAGCCATATCTTGTATTCATTGTCTGGATATAGGTCAGTCAACACATACTCGCCTTTCACGGGAATGCTTTTGCATTGGACTTCCTATACTCCAAAGAAGGAAAGATAAAGGGCTTTACGATGCGCTTGAAATGTTTTACCACCAATATCCTAATACCACGAAGACTATATACCAGAATCAATCACTTTTACAGAACAGGAAAAAAAATGTCCATGCTTAAAAAAATCAAGGTAAGTCGGAGATTCTTCCAACTAGTCTTGCCATATGATTAGTGTGAAAACTAACAGAATTGTTATGTAACTAACAGAATTGAATATGCTGCAAGACCAACCACTTCGTTTAACAACACGAATAGCAAACGAGTTGAGGAGCTCATTTTGACGGAGGGAAGAGTTTCTTTTACAGGCAATCTTTTATAGGCCATACTGTGCAGAAAATTATTTGTAAATTTCAATAGATTTGATGTTCTCGTTGGCCAGAAATTTCATCATGATTCCTTCTTTGTAACCTCAACCGCCGCCATCTTGAGTTTTAACCCATGTATTAAAGCAGGAAGCACGCAATTGTGGGAATGGATTACCACTCTATTAAGAAAAATTCAACAAATTATTAATCTATATGCATTAGTTTGCTATTCATAAACGAAAGCCCAGCTCAAATTTGAACTCAATTGCCACCATCTTGATTTTCAGCACATGTATTAAAGCAGACAACACGCAGTTGTGGATATGGGTTAACAACACTATAAAGACAAATTCCCCCAAAATTTATTGATCTAAATCGTCTACTCCGCCTCTTACAAACTTGAGTCCAGGTCAAATTCGAACCACCCTTGTACCTGTTCATAAACATGATCTAAACTTGTCTCAATGCGAAAAATTTCATGAAAGCATGCGAGCATCCAGCTGGAAAACTCCTAAATGGTAAAAAATATATATATATAAAATAATATTATTTACTTTGGTATTACATGTTATATATATGGGGAACGATTTAAAATTTCTCGCAGTAATGTGCTAAAATGCAGTTTTCCTCTTTCGTGCGCATATAACATTACTTTTAAATTTGAAGGGCGTATTTCAGTACTTCCTTGCGTAGAGAAGGCGCTCCTTAGTCGCAACACTGTAATGACCGACCGCCAGTTGAAAACAGTTTTTCAATTGCATAGGAATGCATTGAGGCCCATTGCGATTTCCGGTTTACGAGGACTGGAAACTGAAAATTCCAACGGGATATGACAAATGCTGACCAGGTGTAACTAATTCTTACAAATATTTTAACGTACTCCAGAATACAATTTTACAAAATAGCTTCTCTCCATGCCTTGGTAAATGGATGAAGCTGGAACGCGCAAAGGAACGTAGATGCACAAGTATCAACATATTGATTAACAAAGGAAAACATAGAATAAATAATAAAGAAAGTTTTCATGCGCATAAATAAGGCAAAGAAGTCCAAACTCACGTCTGTATAAGTGTCATGCCAATATAATTCATAGTTTATGATGGGCACTTGGACAAACTCTGGTCTCTCCCATTTAAGCTGGATGCTCGTGGCATTTTGAAGCACGGAGGCGAGGCCCAGAGGCTGGGATGGGACTGTAACAACATCGATGGGAGAAGGAGTTTTGGGGGGAACGAATTAGGAAGAGAAATGATTGAATTAAGGTAATTTAAGTTATTATTTAAATTAAGGCAAATTAAGGTAAAATTTATGTGACGGGATGACGCAAACCTCATAACCGTCTCATGGAAATAAAAAGATGCGGATCGACGTCAATGGATTCTGGTAACTTGTAATGTGAGGAACTCATTTCACCGATTTTTTTAAAAACAAGTCTGAGTATTTTAAAATTTAAAAGAGTATGCAAAAAGCTTTGCTCGGATCTCAAATTTGAAGGTAGGCCGCATATATACTGCCCTCCAAAAGTCTTGGAACACTTTTTCGTGAGCGAAATCCTCAGCACCTATGGCATTACCTGCGAAAATTTTATAGCCTCGGACAGTTTACAGGGTGACTCAAAAGTCCTTGGACACCTTTAAGCAATAGTAGCATTCTCTAATGAAGACCAATTTAATTTCTAATTTGACCAGTGCAAAGACCACAAAAAACTAAACCAACCATGTTTTTATGTTTCAAAAATATCACTATTTGAGGCAATAACCTGCTTCAAACCTTTTGGGAAATCATTTACGGTTCTTCACAACTGATCAATCGACAATTCATTCCATTCCTTCAGCA